CTGTCTCTCTATCCATCCATCCATCCATCCCTCTGTCTCTCTATCCATTCATCCATCCATCCATTCCTCTGTCTCTCTATCCATCCATCCATTCCTCTCTCTATCCATCCATCTGTCCATCCATCCATTCCTCTCTCTCCATCCATCCATCCATTCCTCTGTCTCTATCCATCCATCCATCTGTCCATCCATTCCTGTCTCTCCATCCATCCATTCCTCTGTCTCTCTATCCATCCATCCATCTGTCCATCCATCCATTCCTGTCTCTCCTCCCATCCATCCATCCATCCATCCATCCATCCATGCACCTCTTCTCATTACCCACCCATCCCTGCACTCAGCCCCTCTCTTCTCCTTCTCCAGTCCCCCCTCAGTCTCTCCATCTACTGTGTTTGGAATGCATGACCCAAAGTCTGTGTGTTGGAAACTCAATCTGCAATGCAACAGTGTCGAGAGTGGGCCCTTTGTGCGGTGACCGGGCAGGCCACGATGAGGGCTCTGCTGTCATGAGCAGACAGATGCCTGGTTTGCTATGAGGCAAAGTTCAGCTCTCCTTCACCTTGTGATGACTTCCGCCATGTTAGGATGCAGCAAGGAGCTCCTGCCACAGCTGGGCCTTCATCTGGGACCTCCAGCCTCCAGAACCATGAACCAAAGGAATCTCTGCTCATTAGAAATCATCTAGTCTTTGGGATTCTGTCACAGCAGGACAAAATAGAGTGGCCAAGATCTCTTCATCCTTCATTCCCTCTCTGCCCTTCAATGTGTCCATCCATCCCTCCTTTTCTTCATCCATCCATTCCTCCTCCTCTCCATCCATCCATCTCTTCATGTCTCCCCGAGTCTTTCCATCCCTCCGTTATTCCACCCAATTTGCACCCTTCCTTCCATCCTTTAGCCATTAATTTCTCTATTCTCCTACTTACCCTTTCTCTTTCCCTGTTCCTCCTTCCCCCTCCACCCATCCCCCTCTCCCTCTGTCCATCTGCCTCCATCTCTTCTTCCGCCTACCCACTTCACCACCGCTCTATCCATCTGCTGAGAGTTTCTGTTTCTGTCTCAGTGTTTGGGGACTGGACCCCACGGTGGTCCCGTCCCAAGGAGCTCACACAGCAGTGAGAGTCAGTCTAGAGGTTCTGCAGGAGCAGTGTGCAGAAGAGCACCCTGGGCAGCACCAGCTCTCAGGAGGGCCATGAGGAGCCAGAGCCCTCCACACCCAGAGCCTCTGTGTCCCTCCCAGGCGTCCAGTGAGGAAGATCTGCTTGTGCCGTTTTGTGCCTGAGGAAGTGGCTGGAGGCCCTGGCATGGGAAAGAAGTCCAAGTATCAGCTCCACTTTGGGGACCCACGGCATGACGCCCCCTGGTTTCACCAAACCTCTCTCCTCCAGCTGCTCCTATGCTCCGCCAAAGAGCCTGCACTTCAAAGCCCAGCCTCCTTGTGCCTACCATCCAGGGCCTGAAATACCCCATCTATTCTTCCCCCAGAGCAGATCCCAGCCACTCCCCAGCCCTCATCTCCAAAGACCCTTCCTTCAGGAAGCCTTCCAAGATTGCCCCCACCCCACCAACTCTGCAAGAGCCAATCATCTTCCTTGCTCCCACAGATTTCTATTTAGCCCCCTTTGCACACATCTCGTTCTATGCTGGGCTTGAGGCTGTGTCCAGAGAGCGAGTTGTATCTGCCTTCCCTCTCTGAGCTCTTTAACTGGGGTGGAGGCTGCTGTCCAAGTCACTTTGGTCTCCCCTTGTCACACATGCAGCCTATCGCTAGAACAGCTCATCAAGCAAGCAGTAAATGCAGCAGAGCCAGATTTATAACCAGGGGTGATGGGAAAAGTGCACACCCGCCATGGGCAGCTGCCAGTAGCAGAAACCTGCAGAACTCCATTGCTGTGTGGTTTCCAAAGAGCTGCAAGCTCTCGCCCAGTCCCTCCTGACCGGATCTCCGTCTCAGCATGAGGAAGAGGCCGAAAGGTGCTCTGTCCTGGAAGTTAGGGGCAGGGCATGGCACTGGCTGAGAACTCGCTCCAATCAGACCTGAAACCGCCTTTCCCAGCCTTTCCTACCCCAGACCCACCCTGCCCAGGAATCTGGGAAAGGAAGATCTAGGAACCAAACAACAAGAGCTAATGTCTAACAGGTGCCATGCGTGCCCTAGATCAGGGCCAGGACCTCACATGTGCTATCCCAGGGAATCAAGAGGGCCCTTTGGAGTGGGTGGCATTATTAGCCACCCACCCCTTTTGGTCCAGGGGGTGGAACACAGGGCCTTTGCACTGAGATATGTCCCCAGCCCTTTCAATTTTTTATTGTGAGACAAGAGCTTGTTAAGTGGCCAAGTTGTTCAGGCTTGTGATCCTCCTGCCTCAGCCTCCCTGAGTACTGGGATTACAGGTGTGCACCATCATATTTGGCTTATTACCCCCATGTCATAGTTAGAAAAAGCAAGGTTTGGTGAGATGAGACAATTTCCCCAAGGGTCAGGCCAGGGTGAGAACGCACCTCCCACCTGGCTGTGGAATTGCTGAGAAGGAAGCTGGATGCAGGTGCTGAGTGGGGAACTGTGGGGACAGGGGGAAGATTGGGGGGTGACAGGTGTGTGCTAGTCACTCCTGATGTGTCACTTGTGGGACCATTTGCTAAAGGAGCCAGCAGAGCACCTGTGCCCGGCCTGCTGAGAGCCTGGCTCGGCACCAACGCAGGGATTCCCCGGAAGGTCCCCCTCATGCCATTTGAGTGTCCTCACCCACAGCCATACTGGCCCCCTTGGGGACTCTTCCAGGCATGGCTCTGTGTGGGCGCCACACTGGTCTCAGCAGAACTGCACAGGTCCCCCACCCAAGCCTGACTCCAAGAGGCCCTGGGCAGACGGGGGGCTGGGACCCAAACATCCTGTGGCCGACAGCTCCTGTCTCCCTTGCTGAAGGTACCTGTGGTTGGTGCCTCCCGAGTTAGGCAGCTTCTGACAGATTTATGTCCGGGTGCTTGCTCTGAGCCAGGTCTCCAACCATCCCTGTGAACTCCACTCCTGCGGCCCTGACCTGCAGACCCAAAACAGGAGAAAACAGAGCACTTTCCTTCCGCAATCTGCACGGTGGAAAATGCCCTCCAGCCCCAGAGCCCCATCATCAGACTCTTCCACAGCCAGAACCCAGATAGGATGGGGCACGAGAGCCCGGAAGCAGGGGTGGTGGTGGTTACCCCCAACCCACCCAGCTGTTCAAACACCCATCCCTTCCTTCTTCCTTCCCAAATCCCCAGTCAGCACTCGGGCTTGGCTGGCGGCCACCCCAGCTCCCCAGTCCTAGCTGCAGTAAACACCTTGCAGAGATTTCCTCCTGCTGACCGGGGCTTCTCTCCAAACAGTCCAGGCCGGAAGCCTCCACCCCTGGGAGAGCCTACGGGGGCGGGGGCGGGGCGGGGGCGGGGGGGGGGTGGACGCCCCTGCTGAGCTTGGAGGCAAGCACAGGAAGGGGCGTGGGGTCACGGGAGAGAGCCCTGTGCTGTGTGCCCGAGTCACCTGCCTCTAGCCCTTTGCTGGTAACTGTGCTCCTGCCAGCCCTTTACTTCCTTGTCCCGTTTAGTCCTTGAAGAAGCATGGTCCGGTAGGCACTGCCGCTCACACCTGCACGTGAGGCAACCAGTGTAAGCACTGTCGCCTTCTGCGTTTGGTTATTTGGATTTCCTGATTGTTTGTGCTGGGGCATAGAAATACGGATTTTTCTCTGTTGGTCTGTGGCCAGTAACCCTGCTAAATTCTCTTCTTAATCCTAACAGTACGTCTTTGAATTCTTTTGGGTTGTCTATGTAAACAATCACATCATTTGCAAGTGGGATTTAAAAAAAAATAATGTTACTTTATCTTATTCTGTTTTACTGAGCTGGTGGGACTAGAAGGAAATTGCATTAGCCAGGGTCTCTGCCTACATTTCTAGGGGGACCGGTTTCAGTTCTTTCTCCCCATTCACAATGGTTTCAAGGGGTGTCTGTACATGTCGCTTATGAGGTTAAATATCAACTTTTTCTTTTCTCACTTTCCAATAGTTTTTGCTGAGATCTGTTGAGTCTTTTTCTGCATCTGTTGGGATTAATAGACAGCCTCAAATTTCAGTTAAACCAACTTCCTGTTCCTGGAATGAATGACGGACAGTGGCTGAGAGGTGCTGTGGTTTTCATTCATTACAGCATTGGCTCTGCTCGAACTTGGTGCAGATTTATGTCTGGGTTCAGGAGCGAGGCAGCTTCGTGTTCTGGTGCCGCTCTTGGCTTGGGCAGCAAGGTTATCCTCACCTCCTCAATGTGTGCGCGCTTTTGTGCTTCCCCATGGAAGACGTGGGTGAGGCTGGAATCACCGGAAACTGCCCAGAAATCTGTCTGAACTGTCTTCACTGTGGAGAGTCCAAACCCTCCGATTCAGTGATTCAGTTCTAGGACCATTCAGATCAGAGGTTCCCAACTGTAACTCTTTAGAGAACACTCTTCTATATTTCTTTTGATGTTGATTTAAATTTTATGTTTCTAAGAATTCATGGGTGTCATATACTTTTAAAGATGTATTTGGATAAGGTGCATAATGTCTTGATTATTTACACTGCTTAAGTGAGGTGTAACGGACATAAATTAACACTACACATTCAAAGCATATAGTTAGATGAGGTTTTTTTTGAGGGGGTGGTGGTCAGGATTGAACCCATGGCCTCATGCATGCCCTGTGCTCCTGAGCTAACCCCCAGGTCAGAATAGTTGAATCTTGAGGGAGGTGTGTGATGGGTTTCAGGACACCCCCCCCCCCCCGTCCCAAATATGACCCCTGGCCACTGAAGGAAACCGCAGAAGCAGAAAGTGCTCTGGGCCCTTCTCCCTTGAAGCCGGCCAGAAGAGATTTCCCTGACCACCCTCTGGAGTAGGTAGAGAAGCCCACACTGCACCTGGAGGGAAACAAGGTTTTTTCCTCAAAGATGGAAAAGCCAAGAAGTTCCCCCCGCTAATTACCATGAGATTGGACCCCCTTTTGTCCAGTTGTACTTCTGCATGACTATCCATAAACATACACAATTTCCCCCATTCCTCGGCATCTTCATTTCTGAAGGCTTCTGTGTCACCCAAAATTTGTATTGAATAAATGTGCGTGCTTTTCTCTAGTTGGTCTGCCTTTTGTTACATCTGCCCTGGCCACAGACCCCCATGATGGGTGAGAAGTGTTCTCTCCCCCCACATGCAGCTAGAGAAACCATCACTGCCTGCAAGGTCGGCACTGTGTCTGTCACCTCCCAAAGCTTCCCCTCTGCCCTTGGTACTTCCTCCCTGTCCACTTCTCCTCCTCTGGTCACCACCCATCTTTATGTCCCTATACACTTGGTTTCCCTGCTCATAAGGGATATTTGTCTACATCAAAGCTATAATTTGGGGGGGAGGGTACAGGATCTTGCTATGTTTATCAGGTTGAACCTGAACTCACTATGTAGCCCAGGCTGACCTCAAACCAGCAGCAATCCTCCTGCCTCAGCCTCCCTCCACTACACCCGGCCTATCTTTTTTTTTTTTTTTTGGTACTGGGGATTGAATTCAGGTCCTTATGCTTGTGTGGTGGGCAGCGAAACCACTGAGCTAAGTCCCTGGCCCACCTGGCTTATTCCTTTAAAAATGTTTTTATTGAACTATGGCATCAGGGTGGTACCAACTTTATAGAATGAGTAGAAAAATAATCACTTTTCAACTGTTTTCAAAGTAGAATCGGGTTTTATTTTTTCCTTAATGTTGGTAGAATTCCTCAGTGAAGTTATCTAGGCCAAGCATTTTCCTCGTGGATCTACCCTTAGCATTTTAAACCACACATTCAGTTTCTTTGCTAGGAACAGAGCTAGTCAAGCTATTTCTCTGCTTTCGTGAGTTTTGATAGTTTCTGTCTTTCAAAGAACTTCTTCATTTAATTAAAGCTGTCAAACTTATTGGCATAAAATTTATAAAGTTCCCAATATTTTCCTTTTAGTAGCTGTAGAAACCGTACTGATGGAGCATCTCTTATTCCTCATCTAGGTAATTTGTATCTTATCTCTTTATCCTGACCACTCGAGCGACAGGTTCATCAATTTTGTTAATCTTCTCAATTAAGCACCTTTTGGCTTCATTATTTTTTCCCTGTTGTTTTTCTATTATTTATTTACGTTGGTGTTTTGAGACAGGGTCTCTGTAGCCCAGGCTGGTCTTGAACTCGTGGCAATCCTCCTGCCTCAGCCTCCTGATTGCTGGGATTACAGGCGTGCACCACCATGCCTGGCAATTCACTCTGATCTTTATTATTTCCTTTCTTCTGCTTACTTTGGATTTACTTTTCTTTTTTTATTTCTAGTTTCTTAGAGTGAAAACTGAGGTTATTTATTTCAGACCCTTAGCTTACATATGTGCTTAATCATAAAAACATCCTTCTAAACGCTACTTTAGTAAACTAATTGTGTCTTAGTCACTTTCCTGTCTCTGGGACAAAATATCCGACACCTGCGACTTAAAGGAGGAGAGGTTTATTTTGGTTCAGGATTTCAGTTCATGTGCAGATGACTCCGAGGCCGAAATGGGATAGAAGAGGAGGATTGAAAAGAAAACAGGCGCTCAACCCAAGGCAGCCAGGAAGCCCCGGGAGAAGGGAGAAGCTGGGGACAAACCCAGACCCTTCCAGGCCTCGCCCCCAGCGACCCGCCTCCAACCAGGCCCCGCCCCCTAAGTGCAAGTCCGCACAGTGTTCCATGATTGGGTCCCCTTCCAAAAGCCCCGCCTCTGAACACATGAGCCTTTTGGAAGACATGTGACATCTAAACCATAACAACCTACATCCTCAAATATTTAATGCCTGATTTCCATTTGCATTCAATTCAAAATAATTTCTAATTTCCTTTTTGATTTTTTTCTTTCACCCATGGATTAGCTAAATATTTGTTTCCAAATGCTTAAAGACTTTCCAGGTGGTTTTCTGTTAATGATTAATAATTTAATTTCACTGTGGTCGGCAAACATATTTTGTATGACTTAAATGTTTCAAAGTGCACTAAGACTTGCTTATGGCCCAGAATATAGTCGATCCAGGTAAATGTTCTATGGATAGTTAAAAATTTGTTTTCTGGGGCCAGGGATTTAGCTCAGTAGTTCCGCCGCCTGCCTCGCAAGCGCAAGGAATCGGGTTCAATCCCCAGTTACCTCCCCCCCACCATGTGTTTTCTGGTATTGTTGGGTGGAGGGTTTTACAAATATCAGTTAGAGCAAGCGAGTCAGCCTTGCCTAGTTATCTAGACACTTTCTAATTTTCTGTCTTCTTATCAGTTCTTGGGGACAGGGGTATTGAAATCTCCAATTGTAACTATGGATTTGTCTATTTCTAGTTGTGTTTCTGTCAGTTTTGGCTTTATGCATTTTGAAACTGTTATTTTGTTCATCAACATTTAAGGTTATGATTTTTCTTGGGTTGACTCTTATCATTACAAGAGGGTACTCATTATATTTGTGCAGAGTCTTTTCTCTGAAACCTACTCTAATATTAATGTATTTAGCTTTCTTCTGATTAGTTAGATGATGAAACTTTTTTCCATACTTTTAATCTATTTGTTTTCTTTATATTTACAGGCACCGTACAAATGGATCTTGCTTGTCTATCCAATCTGACAATCACTTTTTCCATTTATTTATTTATTTTTGGATTTTCACTATGTAGTTCAGGATGGTCTTGAACTCACTATGTAGCCCAGGCTGATCTCAAACTCACTGCAATCGTCCCATCTCAGCCTCCCGAGTGCTGGGACCACATTTCCTTTTAATCAGGATATTTAAGCCATTTATACTTAATGTGATTGCTGATATGTGGATGAGTCAGGATTCTCGGGAGAAATGGGACCCATAGAAGATATATACATATAAAAGGGATTTATTAGATTGGCTTATATGATCAGAGGCTGAGTAATCCCGCAAAGGGTGCTGGCAGGTTGGAGAACCAGGGAAAGCAGTAGCTTCTCCATCCAAGAAGCAGGAAACCTCAGAATGAGAAAGAACGTGACAGTGTGGCCTCAATCTGAGCTGAAGGTTTCTGGAAAACCTTGAGGCAAGTCTGTGCTCAAAGCAGAAGAACCTGGAGTCTGATGTCACCATGGGTGATAGCAGCAGAAAAACACATTTGCTCACAAAGGGTCTGAGTGCATTTGAGAGGAAGCTTTGCCCTTTCCCACTGTTTCATTAATCTGGGCCCTCACCCATTGGATGGGGTTCTCAACATTCAGGGCTGGTCTCCCCCATTCAGTTCACTGACCCCGCTGCCCGTCTTCTCCACAAATACCTTCACAGACACCCAGAAATATGTTACCAATTCTCAAGGCATCTGTCAATCCAGTTGAATTGACAGCTATAATTAACCATCGCAACAAGAT